CTACTACCATCAGCACTACCACCACACTACTACCATCAGCACTACCACCACACTACTACCATCAGCACTACCACCACACTACTACCATCAGCACTACCACCACACTACTACCATCAGCACTACCACCACACTACTACCATCAGCACTACCACCCACTACCACTACTACACACATAACCACACACACACTACCACACCTACCAACACTACTACCATCAGCACTACCACCACACTACTACCATCAGCACTACCACCTACACTACTACACATCAGCACTACCACCACACTACTACCATCAGCACTACCACCACACTACTACCATCAGCACTACACCAACACTACCACACACTACACACACATACAGCACTACCACCACACTACTACCATCAGCACTACCACCTACACTACTACCATCACGCACTACCCACCTCACACTACTACCATCAGCACTACCACCACACAACTACCATCAGCACTACCACCCACTACTACCATCAGCACTACCACCCACTCACATACATACACAATCAGCACTACCACCACACTACTACCATCAGCACTACCACCACACTACTACCATCAGCACTCCACCACTACTACCACCATACCACCACACTACTACATCACACTACCACCACACTACTACCATCAGCACTACCACCACACTACTACCATCAGCACTACCACCACACTACTACCATCAGCACTACCACCACACTACTACCATCAGCACTACCACCACACTACTACCATCAGCACTACCACCACACTACTACATCAGCACTACCACCTCACTACTACCATCAGCACTACCACCACACTACTACCATCAGCACTACCACACACTACACCATCAGACTACACCACTACTACCATCAGCACTACCACCACACTACTACATCAGCACTACCACCACACTACTATCATCAGCACTACCACCACACTACTATCATCAGCACTACCACCTCACTACTACCATCAGCACTACCACCTCACTACTACCATCAGCACTACCACCACACTACTACCATCAGCACTACCACCACACTACTACCATAAGCCCTACCACCTCACTACTACCATCAGCACTACCACCATCGGCACTACCACCACACTACTACCATCAGCACTACCACCACACTACTACCATCAGCACTGCCACCACACTACTACCATCAGCACTACCACCACACTACTACCATCAGCACTATCACCATTCTAGTACCACCAACACTACCACCACACTACTAGCATCAGCACTACCACCTCACTACTTCCACCAACACTACCACCACACTACTGCCATCAGCACTATCACCATTCTAGTACCACCAACACTACCACCACACTACTACAATCAGCAGTACCACCACACTACTAGCATCAGCACTACCACCTCATTACTACCATCAGCACTACCACCACACTACTAACATCAGCACTACCACCACACTACTACTACTACTACTACCACACCACTACCTCAATCACTTCACAACTACTATCACCACCACACTGATACCATTACCACCACACAGCTGCTATCACCACCGCACTACCACCACCACCGATATCAAAACCACCACTACCAGAATCCTCCTATCACTACACTCCTCCCACCATACTACCACCACTACCACAATTCTATCACCACTACACACCTACCACATCCACTACACTCCTGCTACTACCATTACTATTACACCTACTTCCATAACTACAACTATCAAGAAGTATTCACATATAATTTAACTTTAGGGTTTGAAGCCTGTTAGAGAATGCATTCTCTAATTATTCATGTTAAACTTGCAAGGTGCCGTCTAAACTATATTCATCAGAAGTGATATAAAGGTTGATGCGTTAGTCAAACAAGTATTATTTTCAGAGATTCATGGTAAATTTTTTATCAAAGGAATGGATTATTGCTTGAAAATTTTCCCAATGATCTTTTTGTGCCTTTTGGTGTGGGTGAGGATGGTAGGGATGGATGAGAGCGTTGTGTATCCTGGGAGGATGACAGTATTGTAGGGTTACGATGTAGATGAGTGGCCTGTGGGGTTCTAATTCGAGGGAATGGAGAGCCTGCAATCGGAGCCAAGAGCTTACAAAAAGTGGCACCCAGATAGCCAGTAGCAGCAGGGTTTGGATGAGCTCGGGAGGCTTAGACGAGAGCATCCCAAGGGCAGCGAGATGATGCTGAACATGCTCATTGAACATCTCCAGAAACTAAAGGATGCCACTAATGACGATGACTTAATGGAGAGCGTCGAGAAGGATTTTGAAAAACAGTATGGTACAGATAAATTATACTGGTGGGACAAAGCCTAGAATATGGAACAAGTGACGGATGCCGTTGAAGACGATACCGTCGATCTCTAAGATAACTTGGAGAAGTTGAAGAGTATGATTCAGTTAGGAGACGAGGATGCAGAAGAATAGGCTGAAGATCTGCAGTCATAAGTCAAGAATAGATACTTACTTGGCAATAAGAGAGCCAATAGGAACGATTATGAATTGTTTGAGAACGAGAGGGAGGAGGATGATTTGTCCGACGAAGTGAAGGACAAGGAGCAAGGCAAAGTGGGAAAGGAGGATGATTTGTCCGACGAAGAAGATAAGGACAAGGAGCAAGGCAAAGTGGTAAACGAGGAAGAGAGCGAGGAATATAATATCTTTATATAGCACGAGGCTTTCGATTATTCCCATAAAGAGTTTATGGATTACGAGAACGGCTTCTACATATCCTGTGGATTCACTGTGGCTACTGGATAAAAACTTCCTCATTATCTGTAGGATTATGTCAGCAGTGACGTGCCTAGCATGATGAATCAACGTTACCAGGACGAGTGGTAACCTGGGCATCCCGCAGAGGAAAATATTGCAACCACTGACGCTTAGATGAGCGAGGAATCACAGATGGAACTGAAAGCGCAGGAGATGGTGCAATCCCTCAAGGATCCCACTTTGGAAATGTTTGACTCGATGGGGATTGGCAAAGATGCGGTAATCATGGGTCCTGAGGTCATCATCCACATGAAGCCGCCGGCACCCAAACCCATCATCTATAAGCAAAAGGAGGAAGAGAAAGAAACAGATCTGAATAGAACCTTTGAGAACACAACAGACTTTGCTTCATATGTTTTAATTATAAAAGACAAAGACGCCGCTGGAAAGATAATAAATAAGATAGTGGAAGATCGCGGCATGACCTTCGTCCAGATGATGAATGCAACATGGACAGCTATCTATTACTCAGTAGACTGGAACGTGGTTATAACGGTTTCTTCCATGACTGTGGCATTAATGATCGTCATACGTATCCTGTACTTCGCCGTAGCCAAAGTGGATTATGATTGCTACGCTGAGAACATAATTCTGATGCTCTACTGTTTCCAGCACTGCCCGGATCTGATAGATGAACTGCTGTACCTGACGTAGGAGTTCATGAGGGAGGGTGTTGAGGGAGACGGCCTTCTGAGCTTCGCAAATATGTTTATAGATCAGACTTTGAATCTGTATATAGAGAAATATTACCTTATGGAAAGAGACTGAAAAATCTCACTGGATGAAAGTTAAACCACTATTTTTACCACTAATGTTAATACCACTATTTTTACCACTAATGTTAATACCACTATTTTTACCACTAGGTGTTAATACCACTATTTTTACCACTAATGTTAATACCACTATTTTTACCACTAATGTTAATACCGCTATTTTTTTACACAAGGTATTAATACCACTACGTATTAGTACCACTAGGTAATACCTAGTGGTAATACCACCAAGTATTATTACCTAGAAATAATCTTACTACTTAAATTAATAACATTATTTCTGACCTTATTGATTTCACTACAGTCAAAAAACTTTACTTAAAACTAAATTTTGTTATCGTTTGTTAAACTGATATATATATATATATATATATATATAATATATATATTATATATATATATATATATATATATATATATATATATACTGTCAGACCATTGTATACACGCAGCTTAAACTGTCAGACCATTGTATACACGCAGCTTAAACTGTCAGACCATTGTATACACGCAGCTTAAACTGTCAGACCATTGTATACACACAGCTTAAACTGTCAGACCATTGTATACACACAGCTTAAACTGTCAAACCATTGTATACACGCAGCTTAAACTGTCAGACCATTGTATACACACAGCTTAAACTGTCAGACCATTGTATACACACAGCTTAAACTGTCAAACCATTGTATACACGCAGCTTAAACTGTCAGACCATTGTATACACACAGCTTAAACTGTCAAACCATTGTATACACACAGCTTAAACTGTCAAACCATTGTATACACACAGCTTAAACTGTCAAACCATTGTATACACACAGCTTAAACTGTCAGACCATTGTATACACACAGCTTAAACTGTCAGACCATTGTATACACACAGCTTAAACTGTCAAACCATTGTATACACGCAGCTTAAACTGTCAGACCATTGTATACACACAGCTTAAACTGTCAATCCATTGTATACACACAGCTTAAACTGTCGGACCATTGTATACACACAGCTTAAACTGTCAGACCATTGTATACACACAGCTTAAACTGTCAAACCATTGTATACACACAGCTTAAACTGTCAAACCATTGTATACACACAGCTTAAACTGTCAGACCATTGTATACACACAGCTTAAACTGTCAAACCATTGTATACACACAGCTTAAACTGTCAAACCATTGTATACACACAGCTTAAACTGTCAAACCATTGTATACACACAGCTTAAACTGTCAAACCATTGTATACACACAGCTTAACTGTCAGACCATTGTATACACACAACTTAAACTGGCAGATCATTGTATACGCACAGTTTAAATTAACAGATGACTCTGTGTATATTTCTCAATATAAAACCACACATCTCACAAAACTCACACACTATTAAACACACAAAAAAATCAATTGTGTTTAATTTATCAGGGTAATCAAAAAATTATTATTATTATTATTATTATTATTATTATTATTATTATTATTATTATTATTATTATATAAGCCATCACTGCTTATAATGGAGGACTCATATGGGTTTAACGCTTAATGTGACATCTCGAGTCCCGAAGATTACAGTTAGGAGTCAACAAGGTTACTAATCACACATAAATAATTCCATAGCTAAGATAGGCTGGGTTATACTCGGTGTATATACACTGAGGAATATACATGGTGTATATGCACGATACACATCTCTCAGTGTATATACACAGGAGATACACATCTCTCAGTGTATATATATATATATAATATATTAATATATAAATATATATATATATATATATATATATATATATATATATATATATATATATATATATATATATATATATACTGCTGCTCTATAATGCAAATACAATTATTAGGTAACTGTCCTAGGCCGCAGGGGCAGGCCTCTTGGCTAGGCCGCTATGGTAGGCCTCTTGGCTGGGGTAGGCCTCTTGGCTGGGGTAGGCCTCTTGGCTGGGGTAGGCCTCTTGGTTGGGTAGGCCTCTTGGCTGGGGTAGGCCTCTTGGCTGGGGTAGGCCTCTTGGCTGGAGTAGGCCTCTTGGTTGGGTAGGCCTCCTGGTTGGTTAGGCCTAAATAACAAGAAAGGCACAATACCGTGACTGGAACGATACACAAATAACCCGCACATAAAAGAGAGAAGCTTACGACGACGTTTCGGTCCGACTTGGACCATTGAGAAAGTCACACTGTGACTTTGTCAATGGTCCAAGTCGGACCGAAACGTCGTCGTAAGCTTCTCTCTTTTATGTGCGGGTTATTTGTGTATGGTTAGGCCTCTTGGTTGGGTAGGCCTCTTGGTTGGGTAGGCCTCTTGGCTGGGGTAGGCCTCTTGGTTGGGTAGGCCTGTTGGTTGGGTAGGCCTCTTGGCTGGGGTAGACCTCTTGGCTGGGGTAGACCTCTTGGTTGGGTAGGCCTCTTGGCTGGGGTAGGCCTCTTGGTTGGGTAGGCCTGTTGGTTGGGTAGGCCTCTTGGCTGGGATAGACCTCTTGGCTGGGGTAGACCTCTTGGTTGGGTAGGCCTCTTGGCTGGGGTAGGCCTCTTGGCTGGGGTAGGCCTGTTGGTTGGGTAGGCCTCTTGGCTGGGGTAGACCTCTTGGCTGGGGTAGACCTCTTGGTTGGATAGGCCTCTTGGCTGGGGTAGGCCTCTTGGTTGGGTAGGCCTCTTGGTTGGGTAGGCCTCTTGGTTGGGTAGGGCTCTTGGCTGGGGTAGGCCTCTTGGTTGGGTAGGCCTCTTGGTTGGGTAGGCCTCTTGGCTGGGGTAGGCCTCTTGGTTGGGTAGGCCTCTTGGTTGGGTAGGCCTCTTGGTTGGGTAGGCCTCTTGGCTGGGGTAGGCCTCTTGGCTGGGGTAGGCCTCTTGGTTGGGTAGGCCTCTTGGTTGGGTAGGCCTCTAGGCCTAAGCGTTCACGTAACTCACTCGTTCGTACTCCCCTGAACCTGCAAGAAACAAGAGACAGACGGGTGAGAAACGTACGCTCGAAATGTTTTGAAAACTGCTGTAGAAACGACGCGGGATGGGGAACTATCTATTTTTTATTGAGTCATGTTTCACTCTGTGTAGAGCTTTATCAAGTCATGTTTCACTCTGTGTAGAGCTTTATCAAGTCATGTTTCACTCTGTGTAGAGCTTTATCAAGTCATGTTTCACTCTGTGTAGAGCTTTATCAAGTCATGTTTCACTCTGTGTAGAGCTTTATCAAGTCATGTTTCACTCTGTGTAGAGCTTTATCAAGTCATGTTTCACTCTGTGTAGAGCTTTAGCAAGTCATGTTTCACTCTGTGTAGAGCTTTATCAAGTCATGTTTCACTCTGTGTAGAGCTTTAGCAAGACATGTTTCACTCTGTGTGGAGCTTTATCAAGTCATGTTTCACTCTGTGTAGAGCTTTATCATGTCATGTTTCACTCTGTGTAGAGCTTTATCAAGTCATGTTTCACTCTGTGTAGAGCTTTATCAAGTCATGTTTCACTCTGTGTAGAGCTTTATCAAGTCATGTTTCACTCTGTGTAGAGCTTTATCAAGTCATGTTTCACTCTGTGTAGAGCTTTAGCAAGTCATGTTTCACTCTGTGTGGAGCTTTATCAAGTCATGTTTCACTCTGTGTAGAGCTTTATCATGTCATGTTTCACTCTGTGTAGAGGTTTATCAAGTCATGTTTCACTCTGTGTAGAGCTTTATCAAGTCATGTTTCACTCTGTGTAGAGCTTTATCAAGTCATGTTTCACTCTGTGTAGAGCTTTAGCAAGTCATGTTTCACTCTGTGTAGAGCTTTAGCAAGTCATGTTTCACTCTGTGTGGAGCTTTATCAAGTCATGTTTCACTCTGTGTAGAGCTTAATCATGTCATGTTTCACTCTGTGTAGAGGTTTATCAAGTCATGTTTCACTCTGTGTAGAGCTTTATCAAGTCATGTTTCACTCTGTGTAGAGCTTTATCAAGTCATGTTTCACTCTGTGTAGAGCTTTAGCAAGTCATGTTTCACTCTGTGTAGAGCTTTAGCAAGTCATGTTTCACTCTGTGTGGAGCTTTATCAAGTCATGTTTCACTCTATGTAGAGCTTTATCAAGTCATGTTTCACTCTGTGTAGAGCTTTATCAAGTCATGACTTGATAAAGCTCTACACAGAGTGACCTGTCTGTCTCTCTTCATGAACCTGTCAGTAAGTAAAGTAACACCTTACTTTAGAATTATGGCTGAACCTAATTGATAGGCCGGTTAGTTAATAGGGGTTTCAAGACTATCGACTACACGAGAGTCATTAAATCTGCACCTAACCTTTTCACCACCAGACAGGAACAATTTCATTCCTTAAAAGGGAATTAGAGTTTACTCTCAGCATATATAAACTTCAGGGAAATATCGAGATTCTCCACGGAGCGTTTGAATATCATCTTCTACCTGAAACCAAGACAACAGTGCATTAGTGTTCGCAATAAAGCCAACAGAATTTTTGGCTTCATATCTAGAAGTATAAATAATAGAAGTCCTCAGGTTGTTCTTCAACTCTGTATATCCTTGGTTAGGCCTCATTTAGATTATGCTGCTCAGTTGTGGTCACCGTATTACAGAATGGATATAAATGCTCTGGAAAACGTACAGAGGAGGATGACAAAGATGATCCCATGTATCAGAAATATTCCCTATGAGGAGAGACTGAGGGTCCTGAATCTGCACTCTCTCGAAAGGCGTAGAATTGGGGGGATATGATTGAGATCTATAAGTGGAAAACAGGAATAAATAAAGGGAATATAAATAGCGTGCTCGAAATATCCAGCCAAGACAGGACTCGCAGCAATGGTTTCAAGTTGGAAAAGTTCAGATTCAGGAAGGATATAGGAAAGTACTGGTTTGGTAATAGAGTTGTGGATGAGTGGAACAAACTCCCGAGTACCGTCATAGAAGCTAAGACGTTGTGTAGTTTTAAAAATAGGTTAGATAAATACATGAGTGGGTGTGGGTGGGTGTGAGTTGGACCTGACTAGCTTGTGCTACCAGGTCTGATGCCGTGCTCCTTCCTTAAGTGGAAGTAACCTGACTAAGTGGTCATTGTTCTAAGCTGGGGGGTGGCATGGACCTGCTTCGCATGGATCAATAGGCCTGTTGCAGTGTTCTTTCTTTCTTATGCTCTTATGTGTTTATATTTTATATTCTATGTAAACTTTATTTATAAGCAAAATACATTAACAAAGATACAATAGAAATTAGAACAACATAAATAACATTTCAGAGTCTACATCTCAAATATTTCATCCAGCTCCCAGGCGGCGGGCCGCGTGCCCAGAATGCTGCAGGCATTTTCCCTCTGGATCACAACACTGAGTCTCTGAAAAAGGAAGCTGGCCGCTCTGTGATCCTTGGTTTCTGTGATGAACTTTTCACCCTGTTCTCTGAGGAACTTCAGAGTGCACTTGCCCCATGCTCCAAGGGTCTCCGACCCTACTGGGATGAAGTTATAATAACTGGGTAGGTCTACATATTTGAGGATCTTCTGGGTCTCCCTGTAACTGGCGGCTCCACCATCTTCAACTTCAGAGTATGGCAAGTAGGTGTCCGCCAACGTGGCGGCAAAGGTGTAGTTCCATGTAATCTGCTTACCATCCTTCCAGGGTAAGCACAGTGGCTCCATCTGATACGATAAAGCTCAGGGAGCAGGGAAAGGGAGGACCTAGTAGCGACCAGTGAAGAGGTGTTTACCTGGAGAGAGTTCCGGGGGTCAACGCCCCCGCGGCCCGGTCTGTGACCAGGCCTCCTGGTGGATCAGAGCCTGATCAACCAGGCTGTTGCTGCTGGCTGCACGCAAACCAACGTACGAGCCACAGCCTGGCTGGTCAGGAACCGACTTTAGGTGCTTGTCCAGTGCCAGCTTGAAGACTGCCAGGGGTCTGTTGGTAATCCCCCTTATGTATGCTGGGAGGCAGTTGAACAGTCTCGGGCCCCTGACACTTATTGTATGGTCTCTTAACGTGCTAGTGACACCCCTGCTTTTCATTAGGGGGATGTTGCATCGTCTGCCAAGTCTTTTGCTTTCGTAGTGAGTGATTTTTGTGTGCAAGTTCGGTACTAGTCCCTCTAGGATTTTCCAGGTGTATATAATCATGTATCTCTCCCGCCTGCGTTCCAGGGAATACAGGTTCAGGAACCTCAAGCGCTCCCAGTAATTGAGGTGTTTTATCTCCGTTATGCGCGGCGAGGAGCTATGAATCGACCCCTGTAACCGCAAATAGGTGAGCAAATAGGCGAGTGCACACACACACCTAAGCTCACTCACATGCACACGCACACACACACACACACACACACACAACACATTCATTGCAGACTGCAGTGATGTATAACCCACCACAGAACTGTAGGAGGCCAAGAGAGGAATATGAAGAGAGCAACAGAGCAACGGTGGACACACTGCCTGAGGTGGCAAGAAGAGTTCACTCGAATAGAGCAAAGTTACTGGTTAAGGGCGATTTCAACCACAGGGAGATCGATTGGGAAAACCTGGAGCCACACGGGGGTCCTGAAACATGGAGAACCAAGATGTGGTACTGGAAAACCTCATGCACCAAAATGTTAAGGACACTACCAGAGAGAGAGCGGATGATGAACCAGCAAGACTTGACCTCGTGTTCACCCTGAGCAGTTTAGACATTGAGGACATCACATATGAGAGGCCCCTTGGAGCTAGTGATCACGTGGTTCTGTGCTTTGAATACATAGTAGAGTTACAAGTGGAGAGGGTAACAGGAGTTAGATGGGAAAAAACAAATTATAAAAGGGGGGACTACACAGGTATGAGAAACTTCCTGCAGGAGGTTCAGTGGGACAGAGAATTGGTACGAAAGTCAGTAAACGAAATGATAGACTACGTAACAACAAAATGCAAGGAGGCAGAGAAAAGGTTTGCTCCCAAGGGCAACAGAAATAATGGGAAGACCAGAACGAGCCCCTGGTTTACCAGAAGGTGCAGGGAGGCAAAAAAAAAACTAAGTGCACTAGGGAATGGAAAAAGTACAGAAGGCAAAGGACCCAGGAAAATAAGGAGATTAGTCGAAGAGCCAGAAACGAGTATGCACAGATAAGGAGGGAGGCCCAGCGACAGTACGAAAACAACATAACATCGAAAGTCAAGTCTGACCCGAAATTGCTGTATAGCCACATTAGGAGGAAGACAACAGTCAAAGACCAAGTGATCAGGTTGAGGAAAGAAGGTGGGGAACTCACAAGAAACGATCAAGAGGTATGCGAGGAGCTCAACACGAGATTTAAGGAAGTATTTACAGTAGAGATAGGAAGGACTCTGAGAAGACAGCACAGAGGGGAACACTAATAGGGAATATACCAACAAGTGTTGGATGACATACACACAACTGAGGAGAAGGTGCAGAAGCTACTAAGCTACCTTGATACCTCAAAAGCGATGGGACCGGACATCTCCCCGTGGGTCCTTAGAGAAGGAACAGAGATGCTGTGTGTGCCACTAACCACAATCTTCAGCACATCCCTTGAAACTGGGCAACTACCTGAGGTATGGAAGACAGCAAATGTAGTCCCCATTTTTAAGAAAGGAGACAGAAACAAGGCACTAAACTACAGACCAGAGTCACTGACGTGTATAGTACGCAAAGCCGTAGAGAAGATTATCAGGAGGAGAGTGATGGAGCACCTGGAACGGAAGATTATAAATGACAACCAACATGGATTCATGGAAGGCAAATCCTGTGTCACAAACCTTCTGGAGTTCTATAACAAAGTAACAGAAGTAAGACACGAGAGAGAGGGGTGGGTTGATTGCATTTTCCTGGACTGCAGGAAGGCCTTCGACACGGTTCCTCACAAGAGATTAGTGTAGAAGCTGGAAGATCAGGCACGTATAAGAGGAAGGGCACTACAATGTGAGGCAACAATGAGTCATGGTACGTGATGAGGTATCGCATTGGGCGCCTGTGACGAGCTGGGTCCCACAGGGGTCAGTCCTAGGACCAGTGCTATTTTTGGTATATGTGAATGACATGATGGAAAGGATAGACTCAGAAGTGTCCCTGTCCGCAGATGATGTGAAGTTAATGAGGAGAATTAAATCAGATGAGGATCAGGCAGGACTACAAAGAGACCTGGACAGGCTACAAACCTGGTCCAGCAACTGGCTTCTAGAATTCAACCCCCCCAAATGCAAAGTCATGAAGATTGGGGACGGGCAAAGAAGACCGTAGACAGAGTAAAGGCTAGGTGGCCAAAGACTGCAAATCTCACTCAAGGAGAAAGATCTTGGGATGAGCATAACACTGACCACGTCTCCGGAAGTACACATCAACCAGATAACTGCTGTAGCATATGGACGCCTGGCAAACCTGAGAATAGCATTCCGATAACTTAGTAAGGAATCCTTCAAGACACTGTACACTGTGTACGTCAGGCCCATACTGGAGTATGCACAGCACCAGTTTGGAACCTACACCTGGTCAAACACGTCAAGAAATTAGAGAAAGTGCAAAGGTTTGCAACAAAGATAGTTCCGGAGCTCAGGGGAATGTCCTACGAAGAAATGTTGAGGGAAATCGGCTTAACGACACTGGAGGACAGGAGGGTTAAGGGAGACATGATAGCGACATACAAAATACTGCGTGGAATAGATAAAATGGACAGACATTATGTTCCAGAGAGGGGACACAGAAACAAGGGGTTACAATTGGAAGCTGAAGACTCAGACGAGTCAAAGGGATGTTAGGAAGTATTTCTTCAGTCATAGAGTCGTCAGGAAGTGGAATAGTCTAGCAAGTGATGTAGTGGAGGCAGGAACCATACATAGCTTTAAGACGAGGTATGATAAAGCTCATAGAGCAGAGAGAGAGAGAGAGAGAGAGAGGGAGAGAGAGGACCTAGTAGCGATCAGTGAAGAGACGGGAGCAGGAGCTGAGTCTCGACCCCTGCAACCACAATTAG